CGGGCGCCCAGGAGACATGTGTCGCAGTGCACCACTTCTGTGTGTGATGTTATTTTTCTCAGGAGGGAACCGATGTTTTTGCAATTTCTTTGCTGCAATTGCTGGGTCAAGCAATGTAGCTTAAGTACTGGTCAGTCTGGGATTACTGTAAATCATTAAATACAATAAGATACAATAAGCTATATGTCGTGGCTCGTTTCTTCTTGGGACCTTTGCTGGGAAGCGGAACCGTGCTGTCCTGATATGGATCTTTTCTTCCCTTGGGGATGATTCAAAGTGTGGCCAGCCGGCTAGTCCTGCTTGAGCTGACCACATAACTTTTCAATGAAACTTGACTTCTTCAAAGGGAGCCGTTTCCAAAGCACCATGGTGGCAGCCATCCACCACGCATCTTCAGAAAAAAAGACACGAAGGACAGACAGGAGAAGCAAGGTCAGAAGGTCTCAAAGAAACTAGAAGAACAGAAGCATTGCTGCAAAAAGGATCAAAAAGGAAGAAAGGTCTAAGGTCTAAAGAAAAGACACAAAAAAGGGCATCGTTAAATAAAGCAAACACACACCACCATCACCATCGGCAGACACGTTGATCGCGCTGCCAGCGATGCGTCTTCCAGGTCCTCACATCGGCCGGACCGATGAAGACGACTGGGGTCCGTTTCTCTCGACCTCCGTGACGTTCGACCGTGGAGGACGAGGACACGCGGGCGCGACAGGTCCACAGCAAACGATGACCCTTTTTGAACGAAACAACGGGGTAAACAAATGTGAAAACACAGCACAAACACGCTTTAGTAAAGCTGCTCTTGTTTTTTTTGGTAATTAGCTTGAAATCCTTGTTGCTGCGTTGTATTCAAGCAGTGGGTGCTTAATGGAGGATCGGGGTGCCCATTATCCATTGTAGCTCCATTTGTTACTGCAGCTGCCTGATCTCCCCAAGGTTGACACTGCACAGCCTGCCACATACCAGGTCTGGAAGAAAGGTTAGCTGAAAGAAGCTTGCGTCTCGTCAGAGTCCCAAATCCTCTTCAACCATTTGGTCCTTGAGACCCTGACAAAACTCGACTGGTCCAAGTAGATGGGCCATCTACTTCCGATACGCTACGCTTCGACCGGTTGTAGTTCCACAGGAGACAAGGAAACGGGGCTGTGGTGAAGAGGCGGTTGCTTGGCCGGCGCTTGGGTGGGTCTCTCGACCGCTGGTTGACGGATGTTCACGGACTCATGATTTTTCCGTCGTGTGGCGTGTGGTTTATCCGATCGTGTGGCGTGTGGGTTCTTGTCCAGCTGAAACAGCTGAAAGGAAGGCATGGTAGAAGCAGCTGTTGATCAGGTACTGAAGATTTCATGTCTTTGCCGAGCCATGCCACTACATTACAGTAACATCTGAACAGGCTAGGAGACCCTGAAACCTAGAATGAGAAGAAACATAAGAATACATAGGAAACGTTGCTTGGTGGGAAAAATCAAGCCAACTTCAGAGGGACTTGGAAGATCTGGTACCCACCTCTACTAGTAGCGACTTCTTCCAGCTCCGGTGTCTCTGGTGTTTCTTTCACTCAGCTCCGTGGCTTACTCCGTTCGCTGGCTGTGCGCCGTTCAGCCCAGCCCAGTTCGAAGCTGCCAGGGGAATGCGCCTCGGTGGCTCTGCCTCCTTGGGACAGTCCTTCATCACGGCGACGGACGCGACGGACTCCTTGGTCCTTCGTCCCACCGACGTTGACGGACTGCGACGGGTGACGACTGCGGCGACGAGGAAGGCCGAGGCGACAGGAGCAGAGCATCAGAGCAGAAAGAACCGTGAGAAAGACGTGCAGAAAGAGTGCAGGGGGTTTTGCGCTTTATTTTTTAGTTGGTGTGTGATCTGCTCTTAGGAGGCAGGACCTCAGAGGGTTCAATTTTACCTAAAATAACATCAGCAGCCTTTTTTGGTTACTGTAGCGCCGGGTACTTAGCAATGCAATGCATTGTAAACACATTTAAACACACTTTTTTGTAGTTATCCTGGAGTATGTAGACTTGGCTGGCACGTGTTTGCTGGCATTGAGAGCTCAAATTTGAACAAGACAGCAGGAAAACCGTTTCTCTGCGTTTCTTTTTGGGTGAAAAGCACCGTGCAGCTCACAGGTGAACAGCACGTGCAGCTTGGGTCCCATAGCAACACTTGGATCTGGAATCCTCTAAGGCTCTAAGGTCCAAGAATCCCGCCGGTTGGCACAGTTTTCCAATTGCACGAAACCAAGTTTCACCCCCGGCCCACGCTGCGGGTCTGGTCCGGTGTGCGCCATGGCTCAGAAGACCTTGCAGATTTCCGAGTGGTCGGAAGTGGAGATTGGCAAGCAAGTGCAGACCGTCGTAGATGGTAAGGCATACCTTGGCACAGTGAGGTTCAGTGGATGCTTGGGATGGAACAGCACTTTTGTCACCAGCAAAAGATAAGTGTTCATTGATTTACACTAGTTTCCACTACGGATAACTGAAGGTGTTTGGTTGTGCTGTGTTGTGTTATTGTGTTCCTTGGCAGGGAAGCTGAGGAAAAACGCAGTTTGCAAAAGGACATTGGATTGGCCTTGAGCTGGATGAACCTGTGGGGAAGAATGATGGCTCTGTCCAGGAGCGATGCAACTGCCAGTTCCTTTGATGCCACAGTCCGCAAATAAAAAGGATTTAAGGGCAGAAAGGGGTGAACTATATCTCCGGATCATGGTTCACTGGATGTAGGAGGAATCCAAGTCAGAGAGGTTTCACCTGTTGTGTTGCCGACCATCAGACCGTTTCGAACACCTCCGATTTCTGCCGTCGCAGCAGGGCGTCCCCTACTTCAGCTGTCCGGCCCGGCACGGTCTCTTCTGCCGGCCAAGCATCACGCCGAAGAGCTCACCTGCCGAAAGTGCAAATCAGCAGACTGGAGGACTGGCGGAAATCAAGGAGAACATCAAGGAGCCGTCTGGGGATCCGTAGGAAGATGACATGAAGAGACATGTCGAGACAGGTCTCTTGCAGGAACATGTCATTCTTCCAGTACTTGACAAAGGTCCAGACTCTGGGCATTCCAGTTACCCATGCGTCATGCATGGGAGATATAATCTTTTCCAGGTTGCTTTGTGCATCGCAAGGTTGGAATGCCTTCTGGGATGGTCAGATGTCTCCTTTCTTCACGTGTGGTGGAGACATCGGCCGATGGTCAGAAGTCTCCTTTCTTCACCTGCGCCTGTGCTGTGTCTCCCGATGTTTTGAGCCGTCCCTGTGCCGCTTGCTTCCAGCCGGCCCTGCGAACTCGAACTCGCGTCTGGCACGGTTTTTGAATGATAGAGGCTCCAGGTGTTGGGGACTCTATTGAGGCACATGGATCTTGGGAAAGACAGCAGCCACAGGTTGTTTGCTCGGCTTGAACATCGAGAAACCTTCCCTGGATGTTCGAGTCCAAGGCACCTTTTACATACGAATTATCCCATACCCTTATTTTGGCACCATTTTAACGTACTTTGTGCCTCAGGAGATCTTGGGACACATGAAAGACTTGTGCGTCCAGCATCAGATGCTCAAGTCTGAAGTGGCGCGCTTGGACCAAGTGGAGCGCTTGGCAGCGGACGCAGACGTGAAGCACCAGCGCCAAGCGGAGGCTGACCCGAAGCGGGGGGGGTTTTGCCTGCGTCGAAGGGAGTCTCTGGAGTTGCTTCAGGTGTAGCTTTGGCTCACGGACTTGACATGACCATGTCATGTTCTTTTCAGATGATGTACATCCAAGCAGCATCTGACTTTTTGTTGATCAGATTTACAAGGTTTTGAACCAGACTCATTTCTTTTTCATGCCCGCTTCTTCGTTCTTTGCTCCAACAAACGAAGAACTCCTTCGAAACCCCGAGGCGCCGGTCGTGCTGTCTGCCCCGAAGCGGTCGGAAGAGGCTGACCATTGGGTGGGCGAACGAGTGCAGGTGAAGATGAAAACCGGGATGTGCTGTGGCACGGTGAGGTTCAATGGACGCTTGTCCGGCTTGTTTTTGCGAAAGGCTAGTGCCATACTATGAGTTGCCATTGGCTCAAAAAGACCCACAATCCCCAAGTGGATTTGTTTAGCGGGGATAGAAATTTCACCTCATTTGAAGACACTAAGGGTTGGGAGCATTTCCACTTTTGCAAGCTGAGGAACAACGCATTCTGGAGGACATCGGATTGGCGTTGAGCTGGATGAACCTGTGGGGAAGAATGATGGCTCCGTGAAGGACTGGTGGATACTGGTTGTGTACCTGTGAGAGATCGCATCAAGCATATCAAACTTCAGAGAGACTTTTGCAATTAAACGAGGTGTTGGGATTCCATTTTCGCATGCAGCCAAACAATCAAGTCCGCCCGCACCGAGGGTGCTTTCAGTTCGCATAAGCCGCTAGATAGCTCTTAAGCTTTAGCTTGGGAGGAGGCCTATTTTTGCTCAAGAATGCATTTTTTTCAAGCAATGAAAAACGAGTGTATCATTGGCGATGTCGGCTATGCTGCGCAAATGATAATGCATTATTGACATAGTGTGTGCTTGCCACTGTGGCATTCCCGAAAGAGAAACGCCAAAAGTATTGATAATGTGAGTTATGCTGCCTGAATGACATTGAATCATTGAATTTGTGTGCGCGTTTGTACCTGCAGATTTCACTATTGATGCTGAACAAGAGTACAACACCCTTAAGATAGGTACCAGCGAGTCGTCGAGATCTAAGACACGTTGCGTCGGGGGACGCATCAATCACCAAGTTGCTGTCCACGTGGTATAGCTCCTTCTTCTGACCCTAAAAGAGCCCTCCATCGATCTTGCCCGGCTCTTCTGAGCACTGGCGTATCCGTGGCGGGCGGCAAAGACCGCCGCGAAGAAGCGGTGTGATAACCGGCCCCCCACGCATTTTAGGACATGAAGGCTGACACTTCTAATTGCATTTCAATCGTTCAAGATGCACTGGCAGTACCCCCCCTGCGGACCTTTGCATCAAAGCCAATGGCATTTACATTCATTTACCGTTGTTTTCTGTACATTTTGGGGTGCCATATTCTTGGTCCAGGGGAAAGGGTGCCGAAGTTTGAGCTCTCAACATGGACTGAACACATGAACTGGCATTTGTGACCAATGTAAATGGAACCATCAATAGACATTCTCAATGCAAAACAAAATATATATATATATATATCTGACCTTCAAAGAAAACTGAGAGGTTGCCACACTCAAAATGTCAAACACTTTCAATACACATTGTGAACGTTTTGTTGCTTTTCAGCCTGTAGAGGTTTTGTGAGAGTCATGCATTTTTAAAAGTTTGTCAATGCAGATGAAGGGACAGACTTCCAGTAATCAAAGCAATACAGCTCATAAAAACTCCCCATAGATTGTGAGAATTCTATTCTTTTGGGCCTGTCGAGGTGTTATGAAGGTCAGGCATTGAACACCTTTGACGTTTTTAGGCCTGTCAGTGTTCCTTGAAGGTGTGTTTGCATTGACGGTTTGTTTGTTTGTTTGTTTGTTTGATATGTCTTCATTAGTTTCATCGAGTATTACTTGGCTGCTCTTTTGGTTCCTCAGCGTTCCCCATACTAAACTGATTTGTTTCAGGCTCATTCAGCTGCTCCCCTGTTGTCGATTGCTCTAAACCCTATCCTGGAAATGCATTTCGAAACTTATTGCCACCCAACAATCTTGAAATTGTTGTTCCTTTGTTTAGTCTAGTTGTTTCTACCCTTCCTCGATTCGTTTGTTCCACAGCCTACACATGTCAGGTCATCACACACTACATTCAAAAGAGTGCTGCACATTGCAATGGTAGGTCCTGGGACGGGGGGCTAGCATCATATACACATACATACACGCACATGTTCATACATGTTCAAGTTCAGCTCAGTGATACTCAACAAAGTTTGATCCCAAGCCGAAGGAGTTCAGGACATCTTGTTCTGTTTGGTTGCGCGCAATTCCATCCAGACCGCCAGACCTGTGAAAAGAAAGCATCCGAAAAACATCCGGAACAAAGCTGCACCAGGAGCACAGGTATTTCACCTGCGCGGCCAAGCACGGGGTGTTTCTTCACCCAAAGGACATTTTCTCGGAGTCGGACCCTGGGTCTTCAGTGCTCGAAGTCAGGCACATCATCAAGGAGCTTGTTCCGGTTCCCGGTGTCGCTCCCAAGAATGGGACGGACCTGCACCTTTTGGGTTTGCGCTCTACCTTGAGCCATATTCATAGGAGAAGCACATCCCAAAGTCCTTCAACTGGACATATACTTTCCCATGTCCTGGATGAACTCGTTTTGGCCCAACATAGGTCTAAATAGGTCGCTATAGATGGACGCAAGAGATGACGCAAGTGTTTCTAGGCAGTGACAAAGCCCTTTTCTCATACACAAAAAACATAGCGCCCACACGCTGGTGACGTGCTCCAACTAGAAAACAACGGATCCATTGTTGTTTATTTCAGTTATTTATTTACTTTTTGCAGGCGAAGAAGAAACCTGTGGTTCTGAGGAGCTCCTGACGAAAGCTGATGGCGTGAGTGACAAGCAAGCGGCAACCATCGCAAAAGTTCATGAGCTCATGTCACAAGTCGAGCATCTGGACGACACAGTGGAGCACGTCGCGATTAGGCGGAAGCAACTGGCTGAGGCAGCGACATGGGAGCACCCCTGGTTTGGGTCTCTTCTCTCAGGATGAGAGGCCACTTTTAGCGCTACGCAGGTGTGTGTATCAACTAAAACAAACAACAAACAGCATTATATATAATCAAAAAGAGCAAGGTATTATCTCATTTACCAGTGGCAGTTCTTTTTTGCAAAGTCCCTTGTGTAACTAATGCAAAACAATAAACAATATGATTGATCCACATAGAAATCATATGATCATTTATTCATATTAATACAACATGATGTTATGATCATATTCCAATCATGATTTTGGATCATAATACAAATCATCATCATTTTGCTCATATGGTTTGATCCATCACCCCTTCCATCATCCTGCATCTTGCGTCGAATTGATCTCGCTGGGTTTTGGACGCCTGGATTTGGTGGCTTTTTGGACACTGTGGTCTGCACAACTGGTACTTGGACCCTACTAACCAAGTGACAAAGCTCGAAGTTGCACTGCACAAGGACATGCAACTGACACATGAAACTTGCGAGACTACTTGCGAGCATTTCCTGAGATACCAAGATTCCATCAACCAGAAAGCATCACACGGCAAGACTTCGCTTGGTGGTGCCAACCGAGTTGCCACCACGCTCCAGACGTCTCGCTTCGCTGGCACAGGTGGAGCAGTCCGGTGATATGTACAATGGCGAGGTTGATTCGAAGGCCGGGAACATGGGAGAAGGTTTATTCTTTGGGGGGTTGTGTAGTAAAATATCGAGACCTCCCAAAGACCCCCTACTCTCTCTCTCTCTCTCTATCTCTATCTCTATCTCTCTCTCTCTCTCTCTTGTCACCGCAGCATTTGTTGTTCATGGGACGGGTCGGAGGGCAAGAACGGGGATATCGGAGATCAAGGTAGATCAGAAAGAACACCAGAAGGGCCTCAGGGGCTGAGTGTTCTTTCTTGGATCCATCTCGACCGCTGTGTGAAGAAGCCCACCACCACTCTCTCACAATCGCGGCTCGGCTCAGCTCGCCTCTGCGAGCAACGGTGAAGACGAGGGGTTTTGGGAGACGAGAAATACCACGGTCACGGTCAGGTCGGGATCCGACCGTTCACGAAGACAGAACAAACCGTGGGTGGCCGTTGTCGTGACCAACGGTCCTCGCGAAGCTTGGACACTGAAGACGGACGAAACGGAGTCCCGGATTTTGAGGGCAACCAGAGTCCTTGGCTGTCCTTCCATCGAATTATCATAGTGGAGTGAGACGCTTGGTCGCCTGGAAGACAATCAGTCCTTTTTGGATACACTACCAATGAAGATACAGATGGAATACTGATAGATGGATGCACTCAACGCTCTTGCTCCACTACGGTTTCAGAAGGCAGATGGATACAGACGGAACCTACTGGCCCGCAGGTGTTGAAGAAATGACTCACACTCGGGTGTCAATCTTATCCATTTGACACAAAGCTCCTATCACATCTTCTCCTTAGGTTGGATGCCATCGCTATTAGGTTGGAGGCCATCGCTACTAGCTTGGAGGCCATCATGCGCTTCTACCCCGGGCCCTTTTTCTCGAAGACTCGCGTGCACATGCGCACACAGCAGGTGGCCACCTTAGCAAGACGAGTCAAAGACCCCAATGCCACACTGGAATTCTCTGCTCTGCCGAAGAGAGAACCGCAACTGGTGGACCCCGAGGCAGGGGGCATGGTGCATGAGGAGACGATGGAGAGGACTGGAAGTGAGTCTGAATTTCTTTTGGCCCTTTTCCAGCCAAAGATCAGAAGGCTTTCTAAAGCCAGGAACACTTTAAAAGGATGACGCTGGTGAGAGTGGGATGGGAAGTAAAGATTCGATGGAGGGCGTTTGAAAGGAAGACAGGAGGCCGAGAAGGAGAACCACAAGGACAGAAATCGGAGCTCTTTAATTCATGTTGAAGGAAGAATGGAGCAGCAGGATGCCTTTCAACAAATAGATCTTGAAAGGCAAGGGAGTGTGGCTAAACTCAAGGGAGTGTGGCAACGGAGTGTGGCTAAATACCAAGTTTCAAGAGTATTAAAAGTATGAACCATTGAGGGGACATGGTCTTGGGTGGGGATTGCAAAATACATGAAACTACATGGACATACAAAACATTTCAACCATACAAACATACCAATCCGATGGAAGGCTCTTGACGGCATTTGGCGACAAGCATGTGAGTTGACCCTGAGGCAAGGATAATGGGTTTCTCAAACTATGGGGCTGACCATTTTGCATCATTTTCCATCGACTGCGCGTCGAGAGAAGCCGACCTCACAGTATCGAATGCAGTTTCCACTACGGAGACTTAATACAAAACTGCCCACCTGCTCTGCTGGAGAATTATCTTGTGGCAGAATAGGCTCCAGCACCAGACCGTGAAGTGTCCTTGATTGGCAGGCTGGCCCCTCCACAACTGGATGCCCAGCGGCACGCGCGGCACGCAGCCGATTCTGCTTCGACGAAAGCAGCAGACCGTTTGGGTGCCCTGGGCGCCCCAGTGTGAGTGATTTTGAGGTCCTGAGCCAACAGCCCATGCCTACATAGAGGAAACCATTTTGAAGATGTCTTTGGTGGGTTGCTATAGTTGCGATATCTATTTCAGAGGAAGGCATTCTTTTTGGTCAATTTCATGAGTTGAGTATTTCGGCGACATTCGTTTGCCACACTGTGGTGTGTTTCAACACAGACATCGAAATCATGCAATTAGCAAGGTGAAACTCCTCCTAGAGACCCTTGTGCCTTCTGGTCCTATCTGGAAATTCTACCATTGACCATTTGGGGGATTTCCGCGTCGAGCGGATAAGTCTAGTGACTAGTGGTGCTTGTTGTGGCAAGTAAGGAGAAGGCCGATCTAGACTTGGCTTCAAAGCGCAATTCCCAGCACCCAGCTGGAAGAAAGGACAGGCGAGCACTGTAGCTACGCCTTGTTTGGTTAGGCCAGATGCCACAGACGATGGGGACGTCAGCCCATATGCACGCTCGCCCAGCCGGCCCAGCCCATATGGCCGTTTATCAGGTGCTGAAGCGCTGAGAGGGGGGGGTTCAGAGAAGGCCACGACTCGAGTTGTTACTGTAGCTAGCGGCTGGATAAAGGCAACAAATACTATACGTATGTAAGTGTTTGAATTGTTCCTATTCGTATATCCTCTTTATCTGAGCCAACTCCGGTTGTCCGGTTTGTTCATCGAATTTGGTGGGTGAGTTGTGAGGCCTTTAGGTCACGAGGGTCCATTTTTACACCCCAGTACACCTGGGTTCCGAGACCCACATGGAACCTCTAAACCATTGGGGACCTGACGGCGGGACGACGAGTGCTTCCGAAGACCAACCCGGTGGTTTTATCATTTCGATGGTGGGTCTCTTCCAAGATTCGTTGGTTCTTATTCGTTGAGTGCCCATGATCTGTTGAGGCGAGTGCTTTCGGGCCACGGAAGGTAAGCGCAGTGTGCCCCATGGACGCCGTTTTCGTCCGAGTTCCGTAGATGGCAAGAGTGCCTGTGGAAGCTTCTCTGCAGTCTTCACAGGGTCGACCATGGGGTTGGGTCAGTGACTGGTGTGTTTTTGGTTTCTCCAGATGGGTGCGAATTCTAATAGGGGTAACCCCACCCACTGTTCTTGTTTTGCATTTGTCCTTTCTCGCATGCGTAGCGATGGCTACCCGTAAGGTAGACAGAAATACTTCGATGCTCAGCATGCAACTACCAACTGCAAGAAGACACCGCAACAAGTGACCCACACAACCCGAAACGGTCGTGACCCACACAACACCCGTTCGGGAAAGACGTTCGTGAGCCCAAAACGACGGTTTTGGACTTCGTCGCGCGCCCGGGCAACGAGGAAACACACCGAGGCGGCGTCAGTCCATCAGTCCACCTCCCGGCTGTGGCCGTTGGTCGTCGATGTCCGTTCTTCCAGGGAGTCTCTGGGAGGTCTGCTCCCTCTTTTAATGCACACCCTTAAGGGTGAGGATGAGTCCTTCTGACAATCATACCCCCACCCTCGGGTCCTGGCTTGCAGTTCAGCAAGGAGTGCAAGAACCTGTGTCTGTGAGCCTCAAACAAAGAGACCCCCGCAAATACTAGATAGAATATGATAGAATCATCCACTTTGCCTTTTAATTAGTCGGTGGTTTCATCGGCTCTTCCCCACTTGGTCTTCCAAGATGCCCATTTCTAGTGGTCTTCCAATGCCTGCCAGACCCATTCGTACCGGACCTGTCTTCCAACTCAAGAGCTGCAAGCGAGACACTTCTGTCCGGGTGCCGAGACCAAACCTGAAGACGATCTGTGCCACGACTCTGTGTATGATGAAGAGGTCCAGGTCATGAGTCGAACCCATGACTACTGCATGTTTCCATGTTGACTGGAAGACTGGAACGGCCACAGGTCGGGAAGGGATCGGGAGTCACGTCGTCGTCTTGGCTACCTCGTAGCTTGGTCACAGGATCTGGCTTCTTTAAAGGAAGGTTCTCGCGTTCCAAAGTCGCATGATTCCCTTTCTTCCCTGCACCAGGCCAGATTCTACTGCGCCAGATGGCTTGCTCGATCCGCTCGAGCCGGTCCGGGGCCGTCTTTCAGGCGCGAAGGACGAAGGACGCGATTCCGTTGGGGGGCAAGGCACATCTGCATGAACCGGTGCGGTTTGTGACCCAGCAAGCGGAACCTACTAGCGATGGCCTCCAAGCTACTAACGATGGCTTCCAAGCCTCCAACCTATTAGCGATGACTGGTGGGGTTTGTGACCTACTGTAGTAGGGTAGCAGTAGTAGTAGCTTCTGCACAGCAGGCTGTGCTTACTGTAAACCGCAGCACCATGTAGATGGCGACAGCGCACAGCGCAACAGAGAGCGCAACAGAGCCTGACCAAATATTATGGCTGCAAAGTTTCTGCCTTGAAGCAGAGACTTAGGGCAGCTCAAAGATTAGAGACTCCCCAATCACTGGCTGAAAGCATCCACCTTCTATCACCTTCTAGCAGGAGATTAGTCTCCCCCGTTGCCTGCCAGACCCAGTTGTACTGGACCTGTCTTCTGACTCAAGAGCAAGCGACACACGGTACCTGTCCGGGTGCCCCGGGAGTGATCAAAGGAAGACGATTTGCGCCAGGACTCAGAGGTCATCATGGGATGTTCTCTTAGGAGTGGAGAACATGATGAAGCAGTCTTTTTTCGGGGATTGCTGGGAGCAAAGGAGTTTGAGTGCTAGTCAGTATAAGAATCGACGATGGATGCTGTCTTTATTTTCTAGGTGTTGCTTTCAGGGTTCGTTTCTTTCTGTTTAGGGTCCCAAGCATGTTAAGACGAAGACAGGAAGAAAAGGGACAAAAGAAAGGTCTAATTAGTTGTTTTTTGAAAGCTCTTTGCAGAAACACAAAAACACCACACAGAAGACGGACTGCCTCTTCAGGCCGGACGATGAATTCGGAGTCCGTCTCATCTTGCCACCCTAGACGACCTAGATCGAAGGCCGGTTTCGGACGGCGGGGTGGCGAGGTCTGCAGGAAGAAGGAGAAGATCAGGGTCCTACCCGGTCAGAGAATCACTTTTTAACATGTTTAAACCTTTTCTCTTTGAGGGGATTGGTTTTCTCACTCAACAACAGAGTTTCAGCAAAAATCCATTGCTTTTTACGCGCTTGGCAAGGTTGATTCGTAGAGGGAGACCTCGATTGTGAATGACCAAGTTCGGTATATGGCAGGAGGCACTGACCCTCTATTATTCCCCTAAGGACACGAGTGATGTAATTTGCAGAAAGAGAATACAGCAATAAAAGGCCAAGAGTGCAGCGTATAGCATGCACTGAGCAATTGCAATGCGTTTCGGTTGGGTCCAAGAAGAATCTGTTTCCTTCTTTTCTTTGCTATTCATGTGAAGTCCACGTTGATATATATATATATTATTATGATATATGATAGATTCTGTTGGATGTGCATATGATACAGGCTCTCTGGTAATGTACGTCGACTAAGAGTCGATTTGTTGTTCCAGCGGACTGATCACACTTACCCAGACGCTCCAAACAGGCCGACTGATCCCTCAAACCCATAGGGATTTGAGAGTCCGGACTCCTCCAGAGGATTCGGGTGCGGCCCCTACTTAGGAAGGTCCAGGGTCGCGTCGGGGTAGTCAAGATCCGTCGATGGCTTGAATCCATCGATGACCTGGACCTGCGTTTCGGAGAAACACAACTTCAGCTGCAACAAACTTGAGGTTTGTACCATCTACCGTGGACGCAAACAACAACATGTACATAATATTTAGATATTTGTATCAATTTGTTATCTCTTACGTTATTCGTTTTTTGTTGTTCAATTTGTAGAACATATACTCAATCTACTCCGAACAGGAAACGACCACACCATGCTGCCATGCTGCAGTCTCACAGGAGAGGTGACTCTGCGAAGCATGGGTGCGGTCCCGTCTGACCTGCGGTGAGAGAGGCGTGGCAGCATGTGGTCACTGGTTCGATCAAGGGGGGCGAAATTGGTTGAGTTTTGGATCGTTTTGGAGTCCATGTTCACGTTTCTTTGTAAGAAACAAGACAAGAGGAACCAATAAAGATCAAGACTGGTTTCAGAGCTATCATGCGGGACCCAAAGAGGTTTTCTTCTCTTTGACCGGGAAAGGAACTCGCTTTCGCGACTTGATCTTTTCCAGAATGTCTAGGATGGTCCACGACATCGTCTGCCAGAGCGTGTTTTTGGAGTGAGACGATGGATTCTTCCCGTTGGATTCTCCAAAAACACGCTCTGGACCGTTCGCATATATTCCCTTTGGATTCTTCCCGTTCGCCTCGCCTCGTTCGAGGGTCATATGCCTTCAACGCCTTGGACGACGCCAGTGAGCGAAGCGCTGAGCGACGGTGCCGCGAGCGCCGCCTGAGATGCCCTGACGGGCCGACGTGATGTTTCGAGTGCGGAAGATGAGCAGAAGCAGAGGAGCGGAAAGAATCGGCGGAGCAGAAGAGCGGGTTTTTGCGTTCTTTTGTGATCCAATGCAAGACTATTAGCTCAACCACGTTAAGCAGAAACAAGCAAGGATGTTTCCCCAGCCCCAAGCACTTGGTCATGTATTTCAAGGATCTTGGACACAAGCAATTTGTTTCTGGTTGCCAGTGGCGTTTCCGGGTCGATATCGTCCTCATCCCCTCTTTTCATGGTCGCCCTGCGTCTCTCGCCCCGCGTCTCTCATCCGTGCCGCCGTGCTGCTGCATCCGTCGGTGCGAGGATTGAGACACCGGACCCACGCAGGTCGACATTGAAGCCCTTGGGCAAGCTCTACAAGTGGTGGAGCAAAAGAACTTGGAATACATGAACCGAATCCACAAACAGGAGCGAAACGGGGATGGGGGTGATGTGATGGGACAGCTGGAGAAAGAAGCCAGACAGGCAGACAGGCAGACAGGCAGTGTGGCCCGTGGCCTCAGGACAAGGAATGCCACGAAGGATGGACGGCTGGCCAGTGTGTTGAAACCAGGAACCGCAAGGAATCTGAGAATGACCCTCAGAATTGCGTGACAGATCTGAAAGTTATTCCCCCGGCAGCCATCACAGACATGTTCACTTGAATCCCGCCACCCAGAGGGTCGCTGAAGGATGAGTTCCTAATTCTACATCCTGGAAAAAAGGGGAAGCAAAGTTCCGCAGTTCCGCAGTTCAACCCCTTGCTATTCTCTCTTTTTTTGAGGGGGGGTATGATCTCCAGGTGATTCTGCATCACTTTACCACTGAGTCTCCTACGCAGGAGACCCGAGAACAGCAACTGAAGGCTGAGAACTCGACCCTGCAGGAGGAGGCAAGTGGCTGTGGATCTCTAGATCCATCTGAGATGTGCTTGGTTTGGTTGTTTGAAGCTTGGGTTTCCAGGTGTCACCCGTTTTTCCACCACCCAAAACCCACGTTTTCCATCCCTCCCTTTCCACCGAGTTTTCCAGGTGGAGCTCATCCGATCGGAAATAGGCGCGGGAGAGGAAGCACCTGAGATGGCGCTGGATGAACAAGTGCCACGCCATACAGTGAGATATGTATAGATATTCTCACCATAGATAGATCTATACATATTCAGGATGATCTTCCTATGTTGCTTCCACAGGTCGTGCACGCTGCAGCTCGGTCCGAGAGTCCTCGGCACACACCGTCCCGTGGGCCGTCGACGTGTGGTATGTGAGGTCTCGAAACAGGGAAGCACAAGCATCCAAAGCGGTCTCTATCAACATCTATGTGTGATATCTGGCTTCAACGCAGCGGTCGTTGATGCTGAACATAGTTCCCTTGATGTTTTTCCCACTCCAAGCCGTGTTTTGGGGCTTCGTTCCCTTCGCTAAGGTGGGCCGTGCAAGGACAACCAAAAGGGCACCCGCATTGTTGTTGGGAACCGGCATTTTTCTGCGTCATGTTTTCTGGCGAGATGGAAAAAGAAACATCGTTTCAGGGTCCAGTCCAGGTATATATTATATATATTATATATATATTCTTAATATATCTTAACTAAAACTACATGGGCGATTTTGCAGAAGGAATTTGCCAATGTGGCTGAGTTGACATGGAGAACCATCTTAGTTCCACAAAGAAATGCCAGCTCGACCCCTCTTTCCGCCAGATGCTCTGCGGAAAGAATTGGAAGGGGACGAAGAAAGCAGGACGCAGCAGCAGACCCAGATGTGTGGTGTGGGAGTTGTCCAGTTTCTGACGGGCCTTGCTGGAACATAAACACATACACACATACGCACAACCTGGAATCATTGTGGATTGTAGGGAAATCGCTTAACAAATGTCCACAAGATTGTTTTTTGATCCCCACAGGAGCATATCCAAAGACCCTCTCCACTTGCATATTTGTTTCAACAGCTCCTTTTCAGAGGCCCGGCAAACAACTCTCAAGCCATCACCATGTACAATATTGATTATTCAAAGGTCCCAGAATCATGTCTACACACTTTCGTCGATGACTGAGTCAAAGCTCCCCAAGTCATGGTCTGCACATTTAGGATGGATCCACGCGTCATGCGTCATTCTTGCACGCACGGACTCCGCCATGAAAGACAGGTGACCGGTCCGGACTCCGTGGTGAGAGTGCCATGCGGACCAGTGGGAGGAACCGAAGTGTTTCACTGCATATGGCGGTGGGTCAAAAACGGTTTCACCCCATTTGAACCAGCGAAACGCTGGGGTTTGGGGGGCGACGACATCGCCATGAACGCCCCAGCTGTGAGTAGTGTTCACTCACGCCCCATGGTCAAGGGGTCGTTGGAGGCGAAGAGTCTGTGTTTTCCATGGGGGATACATATAGGGGTGCCCTTTCCTGTCACATCCACTCACGTTTTCGGGGACCAAAAACCATTCCGGACTGGAACTGCTGGATTCTTTTTCTTCTTTGTTCGAGTCACCATTGAGCCCAAATCCCACAGCGCAGAAGAATGGGGACGTTTTCTTCTCCTTAAGATTTGCTATAGGGGTTGGAGTATCCCTACATGATCGGCAAACTGATGCTTCCCCACTGGAAAATGGAGACACGCGCTCACTTGTTGAGGTTCGAACGAGCTCGCAGTCAGCTGGAGATGACCATTGAATCCCTAGAGGCTGGGCCGTGCTTGATATGAAACAAAGGAATGTACACTCGCAGGCCGAGGACAGCGACGATTGACCAAAAAGACCCCTCACTCATGTCCTCCTCTCCACGGCCAGTGGCCACCTCTGCGGCTTCCAGGTGCAAGTCGATACCCTCAAGAAGGCGCTCAGCACGGCGGAACGTCCGGTGCCCCCAGCGAGGTCGGTCCACGGGTCCGGGTGGCGATGGGCCCGGAGATGTGTCTCCGGGTGTTCCATGGAACAGAAAGACCCAAAAGAAGTCAATCCATACTCCCTTCGAACAGAATACTTTTTGTCGGGATGATTATTAGGATTTAGTTTTTGGTTGCCCAACCATCGATCTCCATCTGCGAAGCAGGACGAAAGGACAAATGGAGAACCGCATTTCCACGTTCGCCAATGGCATGTTGGTGGCGAACGAGGTGCCAACGAGCAGCTCCAAGAGGAGAACCGCACCACGGCGGATAGGCCGGGACGAACGTGTGCTGTGACTGCCAAGTCGTTGAGTGCAAGAATACCTAGAAAATTGGTTTAGGGCCCAGGTTTGTTTTTTTCTCTATTTAGTCAGTAACTTACAGGATTTGCAGCGAAAAAGTGTGAAGGGTTAACGGGGGAAATCCAAGCGTCGTATGCAGTTGGTAGTCCTTGCCTTCGGGATGCTAATGAGTTTCTCACAGAAGAGCCAGGTGCCGAGAGACAGCTGACAAGGTGGGCTCAGATGACGCCGGGGTGGGTGGATCGATAGCTGGTGTAGAAGACACAGCCTCAGGTTCCGAGTCGGGAGAAGACATTAAGCTGTTCAGGGTGTGGCTCCCAGGTGTGTAGGACCACGGCTGACACGGATGGAATGTTGGTGACGCAAG